CAGACCCCATCCCCTGCCTGCTCCCCCAGCCCCCCCGATCCCCACCCACTGTCCCAGCCCTGCCCCCTGCCATGGCTGCCCCACCCGGCCCCAGCTCCCAGCCCTTTAAAAAAAAGCTCCCACTCACCAGGTGCTGCTGGGTGGGGGGGCGATCCCCAGTGCCCCCCACTGCCCCTCTGCCATGAGTCCCCCAACCCCTCGTCCCCCCCACCATGGCTGCCCAAGCTCCAGCCCTTTTAGAAAAAAAAACCTGGGACTCACCGGCCCTGCAGGGGCCTCAGGGCTTCAGAGGCTCAAGCAGGGCCCCTAACGCAGTGCGGGGCAGTGGGGGATTGGCCAGGCAGGAGCCGGTAAATCTGGGGGGGTTGTTCTGGTTTTTTTCTTAAAGGGCTGGAGCTGGGGCAGCCTCCCCCAGCCATGGGAGGGCTGGGGGAGTGGGTGGGGGTCTGGGGACTTGTGCAGAGCCCCCCAAGCAGTGTGGGGCAGTGGGGATTACCCCCCGCCCAGCAACACCTGGTGAGTGGGGGCTTTTTTTTTCAAAGTGCTGGGGCTGGGAGAGTGGGCGGGGGATGAGCCCACGTGATTCAGATTCAGCCAACTCAATTCAGGACAGCGATTCGAATCACTGAAACGAATTAGTGTCCCCTGAATAGGCTGAATCTGAAGCAAATTCTAGACGCTTCGCGTAGGCCTACCCTGTAGGATAACAGCCTATACTGGCTAATCTCCCACCACTAGCCAGAACTGACAATGAAAATCCCAGAAGCCAAATAGTTTAGTCCTTGCTTCTAAGCCTGGTGATGCTAGAGCTGGACCATTTTAGTTGAACTTTTTCACAAACCTTTTGCCAGAGGCAGATACTCAACAGGAAAAAATTCAGCCCAAACCATTACATTTTGGTGAAGTTTTAAATAAAATGAACACAGGGCCTTCAGATGGAAAGGACTGGGTGGTCTTAACTATAAGTGATACAATGAAGTGCAATTCCTGCCACATAAACTTGATTACATAGACTTGGAAAAAAAAAAATCAATGGATATAGGGAAGGCAGGACGAAGAGAAGGTAGGAGAGGCAATGTATTTGGATTAAAGCAACAGGAATGGTATTGCATAAAATCTTACTCAAATAAAATAATTCAAATTGGCCTGGCAATGAGGATAGACTGAAAACCCTCTGATAGAGCATAAACAAAAGGCTCTGATAAACCATCACACCTGGAATTGGAAGAAAGGCCTGTGGGGAATGGTGTTCTGTTCAGTCTTATTTAACATCCACATAAATGATGTGGAAAAGAGAATAAACAGTAAATTAATGACATTCATGGAGGATGTCAAATTGGGAGGTGTTAGGAACATGGTAAAATAACACAGAGGGCTCTGGACAGATGAGATTCAATCCAGAGAGATACAAGCCAATGCATCTGGGGAAAAATAAGCCAGACCTTCTAGACCAGCACTAAGTAATGTCTGTGGGGAGACTCCTGCTTTGGGGGATGGGACAAGCTATTAGGCTTCCTCATTTTTAATTTCTGTGATTCTGAGGCAGATGTAGCCTGAGCATTTAGCAAATTGTAATTGACTGAACCAGAGGGCAGCAGATTGCAATAACTCACAAACCTAAAGTTTGCATTTGCCTCATATAAGGGATTACAGGTCAGTGCTTC